GGGCTGGCCGGGGTTGCGCTCTGTTCGGTCTCCCCCGGTGGCCGTCCGCATCGCGGAGCGCGCGGGCCAGGCAGCCCGCCGGAGTCCCCCCCACGCCGCTGGGCCTGCCCGCGGGACCGGTTATGATGCTGGCATTTGAGCCCCAGCTCGGGCTTCCATTCTTGGAGAAACCTGCCTCGACCAAGGTCCAAAAATCTGTTTCCATCACACAAGCCTAGAGTGAAGCTTTCTTCTCAAGACAGAGTCCTAAGTTAATATTAACACACACTTTTTTTTTTTTGCCAGTCCTGGGGCTTGAACTCAGGGCCTGGGCGCTGCCCTAAGCTGCTTTTGCTCAGGGCTAGTGCTGTATCACCTGAACCGCGGCGCCCCTTCCGGCTTTGAGGAGTCAAACCCAGGGCTTCATGCACGCTAGGCGAGCACTCTACCACTGAGCCACGTTCCCAGCCCAGTGTATAGTATGTCGGTAACTTAGCTTACGGGGAGTTTTTGTGCAGTCTCCTGTTCTTGGCAGTGTTTGCCACCTTGTCTCTGCTGACTTTGAGAATTTGTTGTAAGACCAGCTGCTCAGAACATTCACATAGATAAATGCCTGACCTCTTGGGATTCCCAAATTAAGAACCTTTGCATATAGCTTCTTCAGGCTCATTTTGAAATCTAAAGCACATACTCCAATATGTTTCAGTGCCCTTTATTAGCACTCCTGATGCTAATGGCTAACTGCACAGTTAGCAGTGAGAGAGTGGGAGTCTGCAGCAGGCTGCCGCCCATCAAGGCAGTGGTATAGCAGTCTCCATGTGGTCAGCAGCTGCTGTCCACCAGGATGCTGGCATATAAATCCCCAGGCTAACTCCTGTCTTCTGGGACATTAGTTTCCATATGTTTTTGATCCAGTGGTAAGACCCTGATGCGGGAGTTGCAGAACAGACTAAGCTATAACGAAGCTACCTAGTTCCAGTTGCAGAAGTCTCACCCAGAGCACTTTGTACAAGAAAATATTCTAGGTTCTTTTTTTTGGGGGGGGGGGTCTGGTCGTGGGGCCTGGGCCTGGGCACTGTCCCTCTGCTCTTCAGCTCAAGGCTAGCGCTCTACCATTTGAGCCACAGTGCCACTTGCGCCTTTTTTTCTTTTTGCTTATGTGGTGCTGAGGAATCGAACCCAGGGCCTCATGCATTCAAGGCAAGTACTCTACCACTGGCAAGTACTCTACCACTGAGCCACCTTCCCAGCCCCAACACTCTAGGTTCTTTAGTGCAAAAAGCACACAGTTGGAGGTATGAATGAGCAACTTGGCGTTTAAGGATTAGGCTTTGCTCACAAGTGGGAACTGGTTTATATCTGTGAAGGCCAGTCACCTTGGCCAGTGCACACCTCGTGGAGGTAGTGTACACTCAAAAGGGCAGGGTTATTTTGCCACGCTTGGGCCACAAAGTCTTGTCAGTCAGCCCAGAGGAACCACAGTGCTGCCCTCTGGTGGCCCTGGGCCGTGTGGGGGTGGAGTCGCCCAGGAAGGGATTGAGGGTTTATGGGCCCATGTGACAACCTGGGCAGTGTGACTGAAGTAATAGAGCACCAGCTGTGTGGGAGAAAATGGAGCAAGAACTTGATGCCTGAGTTTAAGCCCCGGTGCTGGCACAGCACAACAACAACAACAAAAATTTTTGTAGATTTTTAGACTTTTTTTTTAAATTAAGAACAGCTTTCTTGGGCTGGGAAGGTGGCTCAGTGGTAGAGTGCTTGCCTTGCATGCATGAGGTCCTGGGTTCGATTCCTTAGTACCACATAAGCAGAAAAAGCTGGAAGTAGTGCTGTGGCTCATGTGGTAGAGCGCTAGCCTTGAGCTGAAGAGCTGAGAGACAGCGCCCAGGCTCAGGGTTCAGGCCCCACAACCAACAAAAAAAAGAAAAAGAAAAAGAACAGCTTTCTTTAGGAGGTGAGGAAATAATGCCATGTTGGTGTCTCACAGTTAAAGCCATGAGCGAATTTCGGATCCACCATGATGTCAATGAGCTGCTCAGCTTGCTGCGCGTCCATGGAGGAGATGGGGCCGAGGTCTACATCGACCTGCTGCAGAAGAACCGGACCCCATATGTCACAACCACTGTTTCTGCTCACAGTGCCAAGGTGGGTACCATCCTTGGATCAGGGACTGGGGGGGCCCATGTTGGTGGGCCCGTCAACAGTGCTGGTGATGAAAACCAGTAGCATTGCTGGTTTCTTCTGGCTCTTAGAGGCAGCTCCAGCCACTCAGCCCTTTGTACCTGTTGGTCACTGCAGACCTGCGAAGGTCTGGCTTTGAGCCTTGACTTTATGCTTTCCCTCTATTTAAATATGAAAAAAATGGACATTTTCAGATCTTTAGAAAAAGATAGCTGTGAGTTTGAAATCCACTCTGAAAATAAACATTTTCAATCTATTTAAACGGCGTGATGATGGCTTCAGGACAGCTAGAAAAGATGACTGAGCAGAGTGAAATTCAGAGCACACCCTCATTTAGTTTATCATCAGAGCTTTTTTTGGTGTGTGTGGGGTTGTTAGTCGTGGGGCCTGAACTCTGGGCCTGGGCGCTGTCCCTCAGCTCTTCAGCTCAAGGTTAGCTCCCTACCACTTGAGTCACAGCGCCACTTCCAGCTTTCTCTGCTTATATGGTGCTGAGGAATTGAACCCAGGGCCTCATGCATGTGAGGCAAGCACTCTACCACTGAGCCACCTTCCTAGCCCCTCATCAGGGCTATTATAAGTCCCTGAGTGGAACATCGCCCTGATCTGGAACATACAGTAACTACCAGAAGGATTAGGATTCAGGGTGTAAAGTATTAGAGTTGTAAGTGTTAGTATCTACTTCTGGGCCTACAAAGCATAAAAATGAGAGAAACTAGAGGAAATATGGTGGATTTGAAGGAGCATGTATTAGTTTTTTACAGAAGTTTGTATTTTAGCTCCATCATATAGTTGTAATTTTGGGTCTTCTGTTTAATTTTCTTGAGCTTTTTTCCTAAGTGCTTGCTAGTTATTGTCAGTAAGTCATTTGTGTTTGTCCTTTTGAGGTTAAAATTGCAGAATTTTCTCGAACTCCTGAGGACTTTCTCAAGAAATACGATGAGCTGAAGTCTAAAAATACAAGGAATCTGGACCCGCTTGTGTACCTCTTGTCAAAGCTCACGGAAGACAAGGAGGTAAGCCTCCCGCACCAGGCTTGACACTGCGCCCTCTGCAGTCCCGGGGGGTTGTGCCTGGGTATTAACCTCCTGGAGCCCTGGGGATTGTGTGGAACACCTCACACACTGCACACACTCACTACCTGCACGTCCCTCAGGTGTTTTACCACCAGTCACACTCCTATCCCATATGTACGTGTTTGTACGTTTTTTCTTTTTTATTTATTTAGTTTTTAATTTTATTATAAAGGGGATGTACAGAAGGGTTACAGTTATGTAAGTCAGTGCCAAATACGTTTCTTTTTGAGCAAGGTCACCTCTTCCTTGCTCTCCCCCAGTTTTTCCTTCACATCCCCACCCATAAGTTGTATACCTTATATATACATATATATATGTGTGTTTGTGTGTATATATGTGTATACACATATATATATACAGAGATATATACATATACAGACATATGTATATATATAAGCTATAAAAGTATATATGCATACATTTATACAGACGTATCTACATACGTATGTATATATACATATATACATACATATAAAAGTCAGGGTCTTGTGTTTTTGTCCAGGCTGTCTTGACTAAGATGGCCCTGTTCTATGCTCTCACGTACCACCATGCCTTGCTTTAGGGTCTGCCCAGTCTGATTTTAAACTGTAATCCTCTTGATCTCTAACTCCAAAGTAGATGGGAATACAGGTATATGCTATCATACTTGGCCACATAAATTGTTTTAGGGAACACTTCATATCTAAACCACAACAGTTAATAAGAATGAGCACGGGCTGGGAAGGTGGCTCAGTGGTAGAGAGCTTGGCTTGCATGCCTGAGGCCCTGGGTTCAATTCCTCAGCACCACATAAGCAAAAAGAAAAAAACCGGAAGTGGTGCTGTGGCTCAAGTGGTAAAGCGCCAGCCTTGAGCTGAATTGCTGAGGGACAGTGCCCAGGCCTAGAGTTCAGGCCCCACGTCCGGACCCAAAAAAAAAAAAAAGAATGAGCAGTAGAGACTAGTGGTTCCGATCAGGTATAGCCAGGAGAAACAAAAAATTCAAGGAGTACCTGGGGAGGGGCGCTTTTGCTTTTTACCTGATTCCCTAGTCCCCTCCCCCTCCCCACCTGCAAGGTGTCAGTAACTTGCTGAGATTGAGCATGACATGTTAAGTCACCCATCGTGGATGGAGGGGTGTGTCTGGGTACGTAGGCCACCAGTGCCAGGATAGGTGAGGGAAGTCTTTCAGCCAGGAACCACAGGTATAGTAGGGGAAGGTTTCTCTACTGGGGGCAGAGTTAGGACTGACTCAGGATGTGAAGGGTCCTTTCTTTGGTGCTTTGGAGGCATGGTGGGTGCATGTGAGCTTCTGGAGACTGGACCACAGCTGAAGGCCAGGGGGAGCCTTCTACCTCCACAAGTGAGTGTGTAGGTTAAGTGTAGGCTAGGGTAGACCAGTATGCAAACACTGACCTGGTTTTAATGTGTAGTTCTGCATGTTTTCAGACACTGCAGTATTTGCAACAGAATGCAAAAGAAAGAGCTGAGCTTGCAGCTTCGGCTGTGGTCAGCAGTGCCACCAGCAGCTTCAGTGTCCCTGCCTTAGCTTCCAAGATGTCCACACAGGAGCTGGAGGAGCTGAGGAAGCAGCTTGGCAGCGTGGCCACTGCGTCCTCGCTGCAGCAGGTACCGTGTCTGACCCAGCGCGTAGGTGAGGCGTCGAGAGCAGTGCTTAGCACCAACCGCGTGGGCTTCTCTGTTGCTTATTAAGAATGAATGTTAGCTGGGTGCCGGTGGCTCACGCCTGTATCCAAGCTGAGATCTGAGGATCACGGTTCAAAGCCAGCCCGGGCAGTAAAGTCTATGAGACTCTTACCTCCAGTTAACTGCCAAAAAGCTGGAAGTGGAGCTGTGGCTCAAGCGGTAGAGAGCCAGCCATGAGCAAAAACTTGAGCTGGGGCTCAAGGCCTTGAGTTTAAGTTCCAATGCTAGCAAGAAAAAAGCAGAGACTCTGCCTTTAGAGGGGCTGAGGCAGGGTCATGCCTTTCAGTCAGAAATTGTGAATCAGAAGAAAAAATAATTCCGCTATGAGGTCCACTTGTGAACACACTAATCGGAGCCAGCATGAGTCATGACTCTTTCCTGGAATTTGTGACAGTGACATATTAGTACTTTCTAGATTGTTACTGTGTTTTCTCTAGGTTATATTCTCCTACTGTTCTTCCTGTGTTTATTGGCTTTCTTGTATCCTATCTTGATCGTTTGATGAATCTCGGCATCTTTATTATATAGTTGTTATATGTCCACGTTTGTAATCCTGAGAGCCCTGCCATCTGCCGGGTCCCGCTGTCCCTCTGCCGGGGCCTTCTGCCCCGTCCCACTGTCCCTCTGCCCTGTCCCACTGCCCCCCTGCCCCGTCCCGCTGCCCCCCTGCCCCCC